CGTTGGGTGACACGTTGGGTGACACGTTGGGTGACACGTTGGGTGACACGTTGGGTGACACGTTGGGTTACACGTTGGGTTACACGTTGGTATGTATTCCCAGGCACTTTCTCCTACCATTGCTAAGGGTAGGGACTGAACGGAAACCCCCCATAGGTGGCGGGAAAACGCTCAGTCAGGAAGCCCCTTACATAAATACATCATAATCCCTTACATAATTACGTTTGCAATGGACAGTTCTCGTGCATTGCACATTTGAATCAGAGCAAACAAATAGTTCGATCTTACATTTTGCCAGTTTTGAGTTGAGAGTGAGAAACTCTTCTAACAATATAAATTCATGCATGTATGTTCGTTACCATGCATCTATGTTCCATGCAAGTACCATGCATGTATGTTCGTTGTCTGTGACGTCTGTAGAGTGTCCTTGAACTTAATGTTAAGAAAAAAAGTTTTATTTTCGGAACTTGGAACCTTTTAGCTTGCTATTGAAAATTTCGAGCTACTGGACATCGAACGTTTTTGATTTCCCCGATTCATTTTGTTTCCTCTGCGTTTCTAGTACGTGTGTCAAGCACAGAGGCTTGACACACGAGCTTTATATACAGGTGATGCGTCCATAATCACGAATCAAATAATGGGTTACCACTCCGACAGTGGCGAAGCGGGTAGTCAGAGGGTAAGCCGGTGATGAGCCGCACATACCCTTCGCAGATGGTTTCCTGTACACCGCAAAGACAACGCCAGGCGAGGTTCCCTCTACCCCGCGATGCACACGGCATTCTATAAATGTTTATGACCTTTAAGGGAAATAATCTTCCGTGTACGAGACATCGATGATAAAAGATTGGCATTCTAAACATGTCCAACGCTCTCCCCTCCCTGCTAATGCATTTCACTAAGCCGTCTTTTCAACAGTTTGATGCGGACGTGGTGATGTCCGCGCGTACAACTTGCTTAACACCCGTAAGTGCAGATGCTCCGCGCTGAAATTGCCTGTACACGTGGGAGATACATGCAAATGATAGTCTTTGGATCAGGAAGAAACCCGCTGCTTAATGCGATAATAACGACGACGTGGGGAAGCTGGGTGAAATAGGAGGCAGACGAGAAACTGGTTCCGTACGTCAGGGTTCCGCAGATTGAGCGTTGCAGAAAAGGGCTTGTCGGTGCAAATTCTGGAACATCTGCGAATCTGTTTTGAAATTAGTCTCTATGGAGGACAGGAATAGGGGTAGTCGTATTAATTGACATGTGTGAAACATCGGGAACTAATGAAAAAAAACATGGAATCGCATTTCATGATTTTTCGAGAGTGTATATCCATCGTGTGAATTAATTAAAATTTTGTTTGAAATTTATGATTATACTATACGCATAATGTAAAAAGGTATGCACAAAATTGCACCTTACATAAAGTGTTCTGTAAAGTAAATATTTGATTACGCACTTGTATCGCCTTAAGATGGTGCAGTGGTATTGTTCAGATAATGTAACGAAAATAATAATAAATGATTCTGATAATTTAGATAAATAATCTCTGTTATCCAGAATTTGCGTGATCTCTGATCTATCCTGGCAACAACGCTTTTAGAGAGCAGAGGCGGTGTTGATACTGTAAATCATTTTCCTGTAGTTATACTATCACTTTCAGCAGGACTTTCAGTTATTATAATTAAAGAACTGAAAGGAGGGATAGAAGGGAAAATAACATATTCCATTTAGAATGGTTGCAAATAAGTGTCATCATTATGTTAAATTTTCGAAGAGTAGATTAACGTCTATGACAATATGCGAAATAAATTAGCGCTTGAGTAAAACTAATAAAAAAAATTAAAGGTCGTAGAGGTTGCTATGTCATAAAACTATTTACCCAAAGAGAACACAGCAGTATCGTAGATTGAATCGATCCACATTACAATTCCAGATTAATACCATCTTATCTCTTGGAAGGGTGGCCATTCTTTTCCTAATACAAATTTCTCTGACTTTTCCCAGTTTTACAGTACATCTTTGTATTTTTTCTGAAAGGATAAATAAAAAAATATTGAAGCTACCGTAATAATAATTGATCAGCCCTAGGATTTGAATTTCGCCATGAAAATATTCAAATTTTCAATAACTTGTTAACATATAAAAATTAAGCAAAATATCATGCTGTACTATTGGTTTTGAGGAATAATATATAGTTTTAAAATTCTCTCAAAACTCAAAACTTTTCCAGACTTCAACCAATTCTTCTTCAAGTTTCCCGATTTCTTCAGACCTTTACAGAACTATGAAATTTCATGATTTGTTCCGGTTTTCCAAGTTTTCTAGAAGGCGGCCATCCTGGTCTAAAGATACAAGGGTCTGCAAAGCGTGTGAACCCCGGTAGCGTAGGCAGTAGTGATGGCAAATTTAAAAAAAACATCGACACTTTGATACAACACTAAAAGGTTTTTGATGTCGATGAAAACATCGACAAATGTTTAAATTATCGATGTTTCAAATACGATGAAACATTTCAAAGTAAAATATCCTGGTTCTAATGTTATACATAAAACGTCAATATTAGCGTAAAGTATATTCTGCCATAAAATAGACTGCCACATTAATTGTCTAATCATTGTTCTATGTAGTCGAGGTTTGAAATGTAGTTTAACAATATTAAAACGAACAAAATAATCAAAAAGTTAAAATTGAAGAAATTTTCTGAATAGAAAACCATTTCTTGTCGCCCGGGGGACGTCAACAGTGACAATTGCCAGTGAACTTTGATTGCGAGCAATTCACAAATAAAAATAGATCCTGAATATTTTATTTATATCATGAGTTTTTTTTGAACCATCGATGTTCTAGACAAATATATCGATATGAAGAAAACATTGAAAGCAGAACATGGATGTTTCTGCTCGAAAATATTGATGTTTAAAAACATCAACTTTTTTTGCCACCCGTAACCAGCAGCCTCTACCGACCGCGCCGCCATCGCTGCCGCCGCCGCCGCCGCTGGGTCGGCAGCTCACCGCCCGGACGGGTCGCGCACCTCCCGGTTTTCCCCCCACGTACGCGGAGAAAGCGACCCGGAGGCCTCCGCGCTACCGCCTCCGCCGCCGCCTTCGCTGCCACCGCCGCCGAAGGCGTACGCAGAGGCCATCCACATCGCTGGCGCCCCTGCGCCCAGAAGACCTCTCTCCCCTCGCCCCCAGTAGTACATCCCCATGAGGCAGGATCGCCAACTTGCGATTAACTTCATCGGCGGCGATGATTCAGTGACAGCATTCCCGTTACCGTGCTAGAGTCCCTATCGCAAGATCCCAAAGTTTGTCTCGTATCGGGAGAGGTCGCTTAAGGCATCAACTCATATCACTGCAGTGCCTCTGACTGGTCATATTCAGTCCTGACGGTTGAAGCATTTTTGACACAAACTTGTCAGCTAGGTGGAATTCAGTCGATGTCTGGAGAAGAATTGTAGCGGCTGGCTGCTCTGATCGGTAGTTTTCCTTCGTTTCTCCGATCATCACCAAGTGAATGCCGGAGCAGCACTCTCACAAACCGACCACGAACAGCGCGCGATCTTTCCTTCCTCTTCCTTGTTCTGTCCTCACCCCTTACTTACACACACACACACACACACACACACTATTATGCACTACACTTCCACTTATGCCGGGAGACCTTCCTCCACTAGATGGTGAGATCCGGCTCCAGCAAGGCTTTCCCCAACCAGGTGTCTTCCACCAGTGGGAAAATCGCCTCCGTGACAAGTTCTAAGCACCCGACCGATCTCGCGGTATGTGTGGTAGTGAAGTGCATATTAGTATGAGAGTGTGTAAGTAAGGAGTGATAGGACAAGGAAGGAGAAGGGAAGATCGCGCGCGGTCCGTTGCCTGTTTGTTAGAGCACTGTTCCGGCACTCGCTTGGTGTTGATCGGAGAAACCACGGAAAACTGTTAGATCAGCTCTCAGCTAGAAATGTCAAGACAACGTCAGATCTCGACCTAGGCAGAGTCGAAAATTCAGTCACCTTTGGGACTCGAACATAGGACCTCCCGATCAGAGGCTCTATGACCCTTTTGCGAGCGGGAGGTTTCGAGAATCTGGAACCGCCCGTTTCAGAATTCGTGCGTTGGCGCGAAGAAAGTTTTCATCAGTGGGTCAGTGAGGCCCCACCTCAGTGAGGCACTCAAATCTCCAAAAGACTTCACAAACTTTCAAGATACACCGAACCCAATTTCCCTTTCACTACTTCGTGCGCACGTGAATACTCTTCTTCCCATTGCTTTCCTCCGATAAAAGGTTGGCATATTCTGCCGTTACACTACGCATTCTATATTTTTTTTCCTCTGTCGTTTTTAAAACTATTTTATGTTTTGTTCCTTTTTCACACACCTCTTATTTGAAACTAATTTTCTTCCTCTTTAAATTTCACTTTTCTATGGACTTTAAGGGGCAATATTGTTTTTTTATGACCCTAACTGTAGTTTTTTTCATTCTACGACTATTTCCGAACAAATGCCTTTCCGTTTGACAAGTATCGCCTCTGAACCTCATGAATTGTGAAGTCCCTCTTTACGGAACTTAATCATTGACTTCTTCCATACATGGTTTTTCGACTTTTAGGGTGTCCCTTCCTAGAAGATAACCATTTGAGCGACAGAGTTGTTACTATTAATATAAGGCTATAAGTAACCACAGCATTGGCGAAAAGTGTGGCATAGCCTCAACTACCTTGGAAGCCTACTACCTATCACTCGTTTTTAACTTCTTTTAAAGTTATAATTCTCGTATTATTCACAGCCATTAAAAGAACCACAAACATTTAAGTTCCCGACTCACGAAT